AAATAATAATAATAATAATGGCACTGATTAGAAAAAAAAAATGTTCAACGAAACGTTGAATGCAATCTCACGAGTACATTAGTCAAATGACTATTGCAATCGCACGAATGCAATTTCTCTGAAAATGAACACATACTATTATATTATGTAAATACTACCTGTCCCGCCTGCCAAACAAACCGTTACCCGTGCCAAACAAATATGTAATAAAAACGTTTTATTCCGGGAATCTCTGTTTAAATCCCCGTAACTGCAGTTAACCGTTGTTGCTCTTGAGTTTTTAAAAATGCATTTTCTTTTCAAACTCATATGAATTAGTTATATAGTAAGTAATGAAAAATACCTATAAATTATTCTTTTGTATTTAGTCCAAACTAGTGTAGATTTAGTTTACTATTTATGCTGGCCAGATCGAGAATTTTAAACCTTCTCAAAAGGACATCAAAATGGTCCATTGTTTTATGCACATAAAGATATATTTAAATAGGTAGTAATAATGTCGGTATGGCAACAGTTGACAAGTGAAAATAAACCGGACGTAGGTATTGAAAATCATAGGTAGATTATAGATTAGAAGTTCGAAAGATATAGGAGATAATTTAAATTTTTAAACAGAGAGCAACGATTAATCATTATAATCATAAAACGAGTGGCATTTTTTGTTTTTAGTTGCGTAGTGGTTTTTCCCTCTTGTCGCTTGTAAAAAACTTATTGAAATCAACAAATATAAAACTGATGTATCAACATACGTTTTAGGTTTTTAAATTGTGTAAAAAAAACTGTTGGGAGTCTAAGACATTTTTGTTTTATCAAATTAATGAATACTTACTTGGTGAAAAATCATTTAAGGTACAATGAGTATAATTTGTGAAATTTTTAGTTGTTGTTATCCCAATAAGTTTTCCGAGAAAAACCAACAAATAAGACATAAATAATGAACTTTTGAGAATGTCAAAAAATGTATCAAGTTAAAGGTAAGCATCGTTTTTGTTGTTCCTCCTCGTGACGCAATACAATTTTGACTACGACATCTACAGCTTTCGCTGCCGATTCGTCATTTGCGACTGTAGGTAGTCGTACACATCCATCGGGTTTGAGAATAAAACAATTCGTTCGGACCACCCGACGGCGGGCCTCTGGTAAAATTTTTTTTATTCCCAGTAAATAATTATAAATCGTAGACTGATTTTTTTTTTTTTTTTTTTTATCTCGTGCTCACTATTAACTATAATATTATAGTCGTACGATCCGTTTAATTCGTAATACATATATAAATAAATTGTACATATGATTCACACTCTCGCAGCAGCAGTCTTATCGTTTATCGAGTGACATTACATATTGTGTGCATTGCACGCGTATTCGCTTTCAACCGTGTCTGTCTACCTTATTATTATAGCGATATCATTATTATGGGACGTCGACAACGCGATATTTCAAGATCTTTACTCAACTATCACCGCCACTAGGTCGGCAATTTTTTTTTTTAATATTCTCTCCCGCGCACGTTTTGCACCGGTTTTTACGGTTCTTTTTCCTACAACGCACAGTAATCTTAAAACGTCGTTAAATACACTCTTATTTCGTCAATATAATAATATAAATTATAATATACGTAGTCGTGTATTGCAACCGAACACACGATTTACCAAAAAATAATCAAAATTGACTGTAAAACTATGTCACCACGACTAAAATACAATATGTACACCGCATTATCAATTATTAATAATATATATTTTTTAAGTAAACTAAAATTATAGCTATAGTATGTACACCTTTATATTATTACCATTATATGTGGGTCCAGGTATACTTTTCACGGAGGTCAGTTTTTAAAAGTTATATATCAATTGTGTCTTCTAAAATTTAAAACAAATAAATAATTAACATTAAAATTCGTTTATATCTTAATGTACACAATTTTGTGCTGCTTTAACATTATATAATGGGCAGTATACCAGAGTGCATTTTGGGTGGAGCTTTGAGGATTCTTGTATCCGTGCCAGGTTAACGATTATTTGTGTAATCCACCACCCAGCACTGTCTTTTGCAAACATAATGATAATATTATTATATGTATTATTGTATATGTTATTATTATTACTATTATTAGTATTGTTGTGGTAGTCGTGGACTGCTATCTACACAGCTGTTTATATACCTATTGTGCTATATTTGACGTCATACCGCAATCGCAAGTGCCGGACAAGAGATATACTGTAATACTATAATAACGACGTGATGTGAATACAATTAACATAATATAAACTGACAGGACGTTCTAAGATAAAATAAAATTTTTTTGGTAGGTTTTTCGTCTCCCATAGCCATATCCCGATATCTAACACGCGTGGAACCATATTTTTGTAGAAAAATAATTTATTTGGAAACGTCATGGTTTATTGGAAATATAATATAGTGCATAATATATACACAGTCAGTATACTGTCAGAAACGTGTTTTATTAGCAGCATATTTATCATAATATTACTATCTTACCTAAAAGCCAATTTATTAGGTTAACCTGTTGGTGTAGAAGAGAAAACTCAGATATGAGGAAAAAGATTTATGAAAAGTTATGTGAAGACAAATACTTCAGTGGTTAAATACGCCACGCCGTGTGAAAGGAGGTAAGGAGCGGGGTTAGAGTAGCAATAGAGTAGAATGGAAACCAGAGAGAAAAAGGTCTAGAATAACGAAAAAAAAACGGTGAGTATAGTCGGAATACAGAAGATACAAAAAAGATGGAAATGTAAAAGAATATAGGAAGAAATTATCCTGAACCGTGAATATTGGAGGAAATAGCGATGACTAAAAAAAAATTGTAAAGCCTTATTATGAAAGATCAATATTGAGATTTTTTTTAGGAGGGTGGGCGGGGGGTCAAATATCTAAATACAGTAGACATCGTCTATAAGACTTACCTACAGATATAAAGTTCAGTTGCTTATAAGACTTAAAATCGCTTGGAACGGTCCGGACGTATCCGAATACGTTAAAAACAAGTATGTTATAAGACTTAAATTTCGTAAAAAAAAAAAAAAGGTATGAAAAATGTACATGGTGAAATGGTGATATTTTAAAATTGATTAACTTGAAAAGTTATTTGCGTTGTAGTGGTTTTAGTTCATATCTTATCGCACTTAGTGTTTATGGCGATTTGCAATATTATTGTTATTGTTGTATAAGGTATACATTCCCGATTAACAGGACCAGTTATAATATTTCATATTTTCGTAATTTATATTGTTGTAGTCGTAGTACAGTTTGTTGTCATTCGAGTTTCAAAACCACACCATAATTTTAACGAATAACACAGTTTTTAATAAATAATATACGATAGGTATTATATATAAATAATATGTAAAACGTTATACTAAAATATTTAAAAATATCGAATATTGAAAAGTAAAATGTATAAAATGAAATTAACAAAATAAAGTTTCATTTCCCATTTCGCTTATACGGTTCGTACGGTTATAAGACTCATTCTATGCTGGTCTCAAATTGAGTATTATAAGTAGCTCCTACTTTTAAAGATCTATTTTGGGTTTAATTCACAATATAAAATTGTTGGAGTTTCGACCCTCAAAGATATTGAGTTATGAGCTATACGTTATCATAATATCATATATTTGTACAGTTTTGTTGTTCGACGCGATAACGACAATATAATATTACTATCAATTATAAATATATACACTGAAATATTGAACTGACCACAGTACAACAATAATGTATACACATATACACATACATAAGTGCCTGTAATCGAAGTATTTGTATTCGTCGTAAATATATGCATCTACCTACCTAGTTCAATACGGTGTTCTTTCATACAAAGTACAAAATATTTAATCCGGAAACGTGATATCGCGTACTGTGTGCAATACTATTTACTTTGTATTAATAGAACCTATATTTTTGTCTCGGTTTCCGATGATATTTTATTTTATTTTTTTTTTTTTTTTTGTAAACAGCATTTCCTCATTTCCATAGCTAACGGCGGTAATGAGGGGCATGGTAACTCCAATGAGACCCCTCGTAGTGGCCTCTAAAAGTTGTTGTTTTCAGTTGGCGAAAACAATATGTCCGTGAAATATTATGAAATTTCTGTCATCAAATGTTAATGAACTGTAAATATATAATACCAACATTCTATGATAAATACATAATGTAATCATTTAACTAATAAAAATAATAGCTTGTGATGATGATGCAATTTTCTTTTGTAGGAGGAGAGGGGCTAAAAACGTATTTGTGACACTACGTTTTTCATCTGACTACACTTTCGTACACTATACTACACGTACCACAGTCCACGATTTTGATAAAAAATCCTTAACTTGATAATGGTTATCAAATTAAATTACTGATCGTGTACAAAATACTCATTAAATATAATCTACACTAAGTGATCTTCACCATATGTGAATATCAGTCGTTTTTTTATAGTTTTGCAAATAATATTAAATTACATCAACATGTGGAATTCGCGTTATCTACTGTATTGGTGATGACAGATGATAGTATAGGTATACTCCAGTGCAGTCGGATGGAAAACGCTATATCTATACGATTTCACATTCGATAGATTTTCAAGTTTAAAAATTCGTTAAATAATAAAATTATTATATTATTATCGTTTTGAATGGGATATTCGAGTGGACTATAAATTATAATATATTTATCATTTTATGAGTGCCATGACAATGAAAACAATATTTACATCATATTTGTACTTATTAATTATTACGTACCAACTACATTAAATCGGTAGCGGAGAAGTTTATCTAAATGCATATATAAAGTCAAATAAATTTGAGATTATTTATCACAGTATCCCCCACTATTCGTCATATCTCATTATTATTGTTATTTTGATTTCTCCGGCGTCTATGACTACTCCTCGTAGTCTCGCAATAAATCCTATTATTCTATTTCAAAAATTGTTCGATTTAGTCCATTTCCTAAAGTTTTCATATCGCTTTTATTACGTCTCTTTTCACCACGCCACCGACTCAGCGCCGGATTGGGAGTGTATCGGCACACCGAGTTTTTGGATTTTCACCGGTCCAAATGTATACAAAACAGATAAAATTTACTCAAATTTAATTAAAAACAATCATAATTTTGCACGGCCCATTTAAATTTTCTCGACAGCTCACCGGTTCAATCCGGGCACAGTCCGATCTTTCTAAAAGTTATTTTAGTGGACTCAGTTCTGGTATCACTGCCGTAATAGTGGGTTTCGGCTTGTCTGTGCACGTTCAGCTCACCGTAGTCTTTCTTTTTTATAGTATCTAAGATATGAATGTTTCCTAACGTTATTTGTATAGCTCCCGATTTTCGTTTGTTTTCTCTTTCTCGTTATGTAATCTTATTAATCCTTTAATGCTGATTCATAGGTCTTCCGCAATATTTTTCTTTCAAGTGGATACAAAAAATGTAGTTTTGTCTGTTAATAATATAATAATTCCATTGATATTTTTAGAATGTATTGTAAATAATATTACTATCGGTTTCCATAAAATAAACTATTTGTTATTACATATAAAATAGTAAGTATAACTGATGAAGTCGTAATGAAAAATTATGCAAAATATTAATGGTCTATTATACATAAAGTCTATATAAAGTTCATAAGTCATCATAATATTATTACAGTTGAAATATTTTATTTTTCCATTAAACTGATAAAAAATACTTTAAAGAATTTTAATATGCTTACATTATTATAATGGTTTTAAATGAAATACGTATTAATAGTGAATTACGAGACATTATGAGGGTCCACCAATTTTGATAATGTACGACCAGGGTCAGGCAATATTTTCGGTACAATTGTTTTAGATACGATTATAACTTGTGTCACGATACTACAATCAATACGAGTATATCTATAGATAATATACTCGTTTTCAATTATCTTGAACATAGACACTCGAAGTAGGGGTGAACTGGATCATTTCCCCTATATTTTCTCTTCGAAAAACATAAAATTATTGTACAAAAATTGGGGTGAATTGTTGGGAATTCCAAAAAAAAAGTTTCAAATATTATCGTGGCTTTAAAGAAACAATTTAATTTTGAACTTTACGTCAATCGAGTGTCGGGTATTTCGCATTTAAGTACGTAAAATGTAAGTATCGAATATCTTTTATTGCAATATTTGATAAATAAGTATCTACCTATATAGTATCTTTTGCAGTATCATTTTTACCGACAAATAAGTAGATACAATTATAATAATTATATATATTTCTGTTTATGGATTATACGCATCATCTTTTTAATTTTGTGATAAAAGGTAAAATAAATAATAAATATATGTAGTAAAAATAAAATGATCCAGAACGATTTCTTATCTAAATTACAAAAAATAACAAACAAAATATTTATGAATAATTATGTTAATAAGCAAACAAGTTTAAACATAAAATAAGAAAATTCCATTTTCCCAACCAGTGGCGTATTTAAAGTTTTGCCGAGGAGGAAGATTACAATTGGAAATTGTATCATATTATTGCATAATGTATAATAAGCCTAATAATAATAAAAGAATACTCATTTTTAATTTGTTTATTTTGGTAAGTAATTTTTAATTCAATCTGCCCTAAAATTCTGGAGTCAAATACTTACTAAACTATAGGTTTAGGCAAGTAATTATTTACTTTATTTAATATTTCGGTACTAATTTAACTTCTTTCATATTACAGTGGTTCGGATACAATTATATCAACACACCTCAGATTTCCTGACAAAAAGTAAAAAAATTTGAATTCAAAAATAGGTAGTCATATATAATATAATAGATAATGAAAAAAAGCTCAAAGGACAAATATACCTTTCTAATCTCCCATCCTCTCCCGTAAATACGCCACTGTTCCCAAAATTCACTGATTCACGGGCTTTTACTATGGCAGAGCGGTATACTCGGTTTCAAAGTATTTGTTCCACATACGGTGATATTATTATTGATATTTTATCGGGTAGTCGCGGAATGTTTTTTACATTTTATTATGTTCGTGATCATAGACGCCAGGATTTTAAAACGTCTTTGGAACTGAACTTATTGGTTTTGATTTGTTTGAGCTTATTTAATTTTAAAGGTTTTCCAAAAACATTACACCGCCCATATTGGATAAGTATTGTTATTCGATTACAATTTGATTTGCACTAAATATTTTTTTTCGTAATGCGTCTATTTTATCAAAATGCATTGATTTATGACGGAAAACTTCGGTATTTTAGCGTTACGAATGTTATATCACGTTATACATAATCGACAGCATTAAAGATATATTTTTTCATCAGCAAAATTATCGATGTTGTTAACGAGGATCCCGGAGTTCCCGTGTATTTTACGAACATACGAGATAATAATCTCACTACCCGTGTCGCCCACGACAGGCGCGTACCCAGAATTTTATTTCAGGGGTGGCGGCTGATTAAAATGTATTAACATCGTCAGTACAGTAAAATAAAAAAAAGCTATCCTAGGATAATGGGGACGGGTGCAGCCACGGTTGTAGGTAAGAAGTTGAGAGGGTAGGACATAAAACTCCTGGGAAAACTAACCTCCCCCCAAAGTACCTCCCTAAACAGATTTCCTTTAAGAAAATATACAATTATTGTAAATCAGAGCAATATGCCTGGTGGAAAGGTTGTCCACGCCATTGATAAGATAAGATAACACCGTGGAAATAACTTTTGGATTTTCTTAAAATGTCGATGGGGGGGGNGGGGGGGGGGGGGGGGGGGGGGGGTTTCTGCAGCCCACTCAGCCTCTCTCCCACATAAATACGCCTGCGGCCCGCGATATTTATATCGATAATTATAGATATCGCGTGATCGCGTCGTTTGGTCACTGGGCGGGTGGCGCTACCGTACCGCGGCGATGCGTAGAGTAGGAGCGAATAGTGAGTGTGTCGTCGTCGTCATCGTCGTCGCGGCGCAGACGGGAGACGAGGGAGAGGGCCGACTCATTATTTCTAACAGATTATAATAATATTGTTATTATTATTATAATAATACTTGCTCGAATGTTTAAAAACGAACCTTGCGCCACGGCCGTGTGTCAGTGTCGATTCGTCCGCCGCGACCGCAATAGCATAGCACTACGGCCGTAAACGATACACGCACCGCTCGCGACCACGCAATACGGCAGACAATCGTGAATGACGCAATATTATTGTACACCCGACAACCCGTAACAGTGACATATATTCGCGTACTCGAGTAATATTTCGGACGCGGTCGTCGTTCCCACGGGCCATCGGGTTTCGATGAAACCGGAGGAATCTCCGCACTGCCATATCGGTGTACTTACCGCGCAAGGCCGTCCGACTACTGCAACGACCGATTCGCAATTATTCACGTCCCGGAAATATCGTCTTTCGGCCGGGCGGCGTCACAGCCACTGTACCGTATTATCGCGATAACGTTCGCGACAACATTATCATCGGCCGTACAACACGGTCCCGAACAATGCCGGATTACCATCACGGAGGCGACGCAAAGTGAGTGGGGTCGTACCGAATACAGAAACAACAACAACAACAACAACAATATTATCGATAACGGGGTAACGCGCGGAATAATGTCGTACACGGGTTTTCGAAGAGCGTCTATTTTAGATCGCGGACGTCGTCGGAACGGATCGGTTTCATTGCGGTGGTGCGCGCGATTTCCACGCGAGACATATCGTTCCGATCGGAAAATGACAAGAAACCTTTGCCGTTGCGTTTCGCGATAATTGATTAGCGCGTTCGGGAACATAGTTTTGATTGTTTTCCAAGCGTTTGTCACGATAACCGAGAAAAGAAAACCGTGCAAATTTACGGGCAATCAAATTTTCATTATTTTAGATTTTTTCAGTTTTATTTTTCTCCGAGAAAACCCCGACGAAAACTCGGTTTTAAATTCCAGGAGTAGCGTATTTTCTCAAAGAAAATACCGTTATAACGGGGGGTTTTTTTTTTTTTTTTTTGTTTGTTTTCTGTGATTAATGTCGGAAAAACGGGAAAGTTATTAAGTAACGACATAACGGTTTCATAATTTTCGATTTTAGTTTGTTGTTGTGAATTGGTTGAACATATTTTTAGAAATGTGACATTTTCACAGAATACTTATATAGACGTGATACATTTTCAGAACGTTTTGGCGGGTTTTGAGCTATTTGTATGCATTTGACATTTTTTTTGTTTAAATTTTTTTTATAGGTTTATTTTCAGTTCCTAGTGGTAAAAAAAAAATGGCGAGTGTAATGTAGTATGTTTATAAACATATATTAAACAATCCATGATAAAAATATTAATAGGACGAAACACAGGATATTGTAAACGTGATGTATGATGTTATAAACCGGAGATAATTTTGAATTTGGAATGTTTTGAAGTAGGTATCTATAGAATATTTTAAGAGAGAACAGTGTTTTTTTTCGATATATCCTCTTTTAAAATTGGCAATTTAAGAATTGCGGCTTTATTCAGCCGTCAGTTGTTTATTAGTTTATTATACCTTAAAATAAGATGCGGATTTTTCGTCCAGCGGTACTTTATTGTCTTGACATAATTTCCAGACATTTGGATTACCTTGGCGTTTAGAGGAAAAAAAACAAAAACCAATACTATTATACTATTACTACTCCGCTCAGAATCGTTTTTTATATTTTTTTATTATTTCAACGGTTTAACGTTGTTTCATTATACAAATGAAATGACACTGACTCCTTATATTATATCTTTCATACTTCCCATCTATTACATGGTCAACCCATCGCGCAAAGTACGTTCGGATTTCTTTTTAACAATATTTTTTTCTTTCTCAGGTACGCGTCGGCACGGGATTGCGTCCGTATTCTCCAATGTCCCACTCACAAGTTGAGCGCCATTTCATTGCTGCCCAACAATAAGGTGAGTGATCAACGCGCATTTTATAGCAGCAATATTATCTAAAATCCACCGTATCGGTTACGTCGATCGGATTTTCAAAAGTCGTTTCAAAACCATGTCGATTAACGAATAACAATAATTATTAGCAAAATTAAAAAAAACCAAGTTGTTTATGTCGATCCGTAGATCCGTAGTTCCAACTAACTCACTACTGACCTTTTTTTTCTTCTTCTCCTTTATACAGCTAAGACAGTTCGTCGAGGACAGCGTAGAGCTCTGCCAGCCGGAGAACGTGCACATTTGCGATGGGTCCGATGCTGAGAACGCTATGCTCATCACCCGGCTTCTGGAAACCGGGTCCATCGTTCCGCTGCCCAAGTACAAAAACTGGTAAGTCTTTACCGTTCCCGATCGAAACGCGTACCTATGCATTATATTGTATCGGGCCGAGTGCTAACAAAACTCGATGGAATTGAAAACAATTTCCCCTCTCTAAACATATAAAGTGCCAATCAAGGTTGAACCAATTTAACGGATATTTAACGGATTAAACGATAATAATATAACGGTAATCCGAAAAAATAAATCCGAATTATGATCGTTGATTAGTCGATTAAGGTAAATTTTATCAATCGTCAGTTAAATTTCCGTTAACAAGCCTCGGATTAAAACTAACTGTTGGTTAAGGAAGTATTATTCTAGATTTAGAGTTTAAAGAACTAAAAGATTGTATTTTAGGTATCTATACTTACTTTGAAATGATTACCGTCTGTTTACCTAAAACGAAACAAATGACCGTTCGAAGTAAATATTAAAATCACATAACAGTATAATTTGATCATATCAAAAATCTAATATCTTAATAAACTCTTCAACTAGCCAAATATTTCGGCATAAATTATTGTGTGGTTTGATTACAATTAAAATGTTAACTGAGTGAGAGCAAAATCGCATTTCTAGTTCAAAATTGGGCATTAACATAAGACTGGCGCTTAAATTCTCTTAACCGACTGGAGATCGATAAAACATGTTTAAACAATTTAAATGTCCAAGTTTGAGGGCAACTATCGTCCCTCACACACCCTCTATCACCGGTCTTAGTATCGGGCAGAACTCGTTTGGAACTGTGGTATTTTACTTTTATGTATCCGTATAATTTGCATATTATTATAGAGGCGTACAACTCGGTAGAAATCATTATTTTTATATAGGTATACGTTACAGTTGTTGTTATACACGTGAGGCGAATTAATTTTCGACGGGCGTTTTTTTTTTTTTATATTTTTTTTTTATTAAACTCGCATCACGTTTTCCACCATTTTTTTCGGAATAAATAAATTTAAATACCTCGCGGGGCCGAATACATGGCGATTAATAAAGTTCGGCGATTTGTCGTCGTACCTAATACCTATTATACCCTTATACATTTTTATATTAGTACGTACGTTATTTTTTTTTTTCAAAATGTCCTTTCTTTTTTTTTATGGGAATAAGCCAAATCGGAAGTAAAATATAACGCGAGGTTCTATACTAAATAACAATTAAAAAAATATACGCCATGAATATAATTATAAATATTTGTATTATAATATTACGCAAACGTGTGTTGTATAAGTATACTTGACGATTTTTTCGTTATTTTATGCAGCGGATAAAATAATATTGGTACCTAAATAATAATTTCCTAAATTAATTTATTATAATGATATACTGCTGTATAATATACAGAGTGATCCATTTATCATTAACCAGCGATTTTCTTGAAGGTTTTATATGAATTCAATTTCTGTTTTTTTTTTTTTTTACAATCGTCAACTATTTTAAATTGTTTAACTTTACCCCTTATACCGTAAAATGTATAGTATGAATTAGTATATACATTTGGATTTTAAATAAGAACCCCGGTTTAAATACGGTTTTGAATTAAGAATATTTTTCGAAAACTGTTGATACGTACAACATTAGTATCAGATTTTACAGTTTAAAGTTGACACCGAAGCGTAAGGAAGGATTATCAATTTACCTATTACAATTTAATTTGTATTAAAATACAAATTTCTATTTGGAGTGTACAATTATTAAAAATTGTAAAAAGTGTTAAAATAAAGCTTAAAGGTTTTTTTTATAATAATAATAATAATAAAAAAAAAAAAAACAAAATTAAATTCAAATTGCCTTAAAATCCTCCGAAGATTCATGATAAATGGAACACTCTGTATTATAAGTTATACAATATTATACATAAAAAATAAAAGTTATGTTATGAATATACCCACACTGTCTCGTGTTTGTTGGAAATACGACGCAATATTCGTGTTTGTCGAGAAATGAAAAAAAAAAAATACGAGTTTATAATACGCATATAAAAACGAAAAGTAGTTTACATTCAGCTATGAATAAAGGGGAAATAAAATAATAACGTAAATAAAATATTACTAAATCCGCATAGGTATATTGCAAATAAACGGAGACAAATTCAGAAGAATTCTCAATTTTTTTTTTTCTTATATTGTTTATTTATTTATTTTTTTGTTTTCGACTTCATTTTGAGACATATATAAGATATTCTAATAGATTTCGATTTATTTTTTCTTCCGGAAAGTTTCATAATACGGATTTTAGAATACGTCTATGGTACAATATCAGATTCTGTGAAAATCACGGAATTTCATATTATGTTTAACCGGGTGCATTACGATTGAGTATGATATGATTCGTACGGGTCTTTTTCCCTATTATGATTACGTACGTTTTACCTAGCCTTAACTGTGTCTTACGATTCACAGCTCAATAATTTTCGATAAGAGTTAATGTCTATTATTATTATTTATCTTGGCGTGTCGCACATTAGCATCTTTTTTTAGTATAAGACCGACTCTCGTTGAATATGCTACCGTATTAGTATTGAAGAATACTGATAATTAGTGCGGTATTAGTACTAATAACTCGTGTTTAATTTAACTTAACCACGGGAAATTCATTTAAAATTATTAAATCGTGACGTAGGAAAGGATTAGCTGTAGTTACATAATTTTATTTATGAGCGTAAAATTTTCCAATTAGAATTCAAAAGAATGTTATTATTATTATTATTATTTAATATAAATACATTTTTTTATTTATTAACACATTAATTTGCACACACTTTTTACTTAACAGTTAATTTACTATATTTACTAGCCTATTGGCAGTACTACATTTGAATGTTTTAAACGTCTACTTAACAAATGTATGCATAGTAAATAAACTAAGTTGATAACGTTGAACTCATTTTCGTAGGAAACCGTAATGTTTTTAAGGGTCAGGTTCAAAAATCGTATGCAGTCATAAATCATACACAACTACGCTACTTAAAGGGACATACAAAATTATGTATCACCGGTTTAACCAAACTTTGCTCGGAATCGTTTTTCGTTAGCAATGGTTTATTGTTGTATGCAGATATAAATTAAATAACTGTATGTGTCCTACTTTCCCAATTGTCCTCCTACAACAGCGGTGCACCCTTTCCTGTTACCAAGTCTTTTTTATTTTATTGCTGTTATATTATTATTGTTAACAAAATAGTGGCATTGTCACGGTTGTTGTAATAAACTTTATGAAAAAATAACAAAATCAATTTTTAAACCGTGTTTTATAGTGTAGACACATAGATAATCATGCGGTCGGCGAGTGCGACTTATAATATTATTCGAGTAGTGTTGATTTAACAAGGTCTGAGTAGAAAAAAAAACGAAACTCGTGATTTCTCTGAAAAAAAAAAAAACAAGAAAATTAATTATAATGAAGCAAAGAAAGCACGTGTGGTAACGTGTTTGACCTAGGACGTTATACACACGGAAATCGATTGAGTTAATTTTAATTATTCGTTTTTTAATATATATCACGTCTGGGTGAAATTTCGTATGGGGTTTAGAGTAGTTAATTCAAAACAAATAGTATTATATTCGGATAAACGTATTTATAATAATTAAACACACTTGAATTAAATCATACGTACATTTAAATAACACGTGTCAGTTCCTCAAATTTTGGCCAAAATCGATATCAGTATATCAATATCTATTTAATTGATTAATGTTAAGTAATATTAACCTTGATAATTTGTATTATAATGAATATAGTTATGAAAAGTTAATTTGTTTCTTTGGTTTTACTGCAGGCGTCTGGGTATAATTTGATGTCGAAATTTATTATTTATATTCTATAGATGCAAGAAAGACTTTAAACAAGTATTTAAATCAATATTATGTCGTATTGCCCTACGATTAAATGGCATATGTAATAATACTTTTTTTCCCAACTATGCACTTAAAATTGTTCTGCATATGTAAATAATACCAACAATGCCATTTTGATATTTGATACTAGCTTTTACTTTTGAAATGTCACATTATGACTAAAAAAATTAATAAAGTCCTCCTTGAAAGTGACTATTCAATTAGACTGGTATTCTAATTGAATATACCTAATAAATATTAACTACTAGGTACTCAATGAGTAAAAAAATTATATATTTAAAATTTATAATGTATATTACATTATAACATTACTATCTTTTGAAAAATGTAGGGAAGATATTTCATTTTCAAGATATTATCATTTATAATTTAATTACAATGAGATTAAATCGTGAAAGTGAAGCTAATTACTCCAATTTTCTGATTTATTATCACTATTCCAACGTATCAAAAATACCCTCCCACTTTAAAATTTCTGCACTTATATATTATATGAATCATTAAATACAGAAAGGGCAGAAAAGACAAAATAAACTCCTTAAAAACCTAGTTTTATAATAATTCATAAAATGGCTATAGAAACTTAAAGATGATATCTCACACTATAAGATTAGATATTAACGCGAGATTTGTTTTACAATTTTTTTTTTTAGAATTTTCAAGTATTTAAATTTTTTATTTAACCTAACTTAACCTAACCTACCCTTTTTGCATTTAGCGATTCATATATAATAAAATAGTTGTAATTCATTTTTTCGTTTCATATTAAATATTTGAATTCAAACTAAACAAACATAATATAATATAATTAATGTTCTTAAAAAATAAACGTTAACAAAGACTGGAAAAAACACATTTCTTTCTCTCTCTCTTTCTCTCTCTTCAGAAAATAAACTCTCGTTCCCTTCTGGACAGGATAGGAGTACGAGCAAAACTTAATTACTTATACATAATATTATGTTTATATTTTTTTGATAGCTATTTGGCGACCAGTAGTCCCAGCGACGTGGCCAGAGTAGAGAGTAAGACGTTTATATGCACAGCCGATCGTAGGGAAGCGGTTAACGTGCCCAAAGCCGGGGTCAAGGGGCAGTTGGGCAATTGGATGAGCCCGGAGGACGCGGACGCGGCCATCGCTGAGCGGTTCCCAGGATGTATGAAAGGCAGGACCATGTACGTAATACCGTTCAGCATGGGCCCTCTCGATTCTCCGTACTCCAAAATTGGAGTTCAGCTCACTGACTCAGCATACGTTGTGTGCTCGATGCGCATTATGACTAGGATCGGCAACCAAGTGCTTGAGAAGCTTGGCTCATCTTCTAGCGAAGGTTATTTTGTCAAGGCCTTGCATTCGGTTGGCTGGCCTGCAGAAGGCCATCCAGCCCAACGCTCGCAGTGGCCCTGTGATCCGGAGAGAACGATTATCTTGCACAAGTAAGTTAGTAATAGTACCTATTACCTACATTTAAGTCTTTGCTCCCACGGCATTGCCGCTAACCCAACCAAATGACAAATTGTCGTTGTTTTTCGGTAGGCCCGAAATAAATGAAATCGTCAGTTATGGGAGCGGATACGGTGGCAACTCACTGTTGGGAAAAAAGTGTTTTGCCCTAAGAATAGGCTCGTCAATTGCTCGTCGCGAAGGTTGGCTGGCCGAACACATGCTGGTCAGTATAGAATATTTTTATACTAGTGTTAAATGTTACTTTTTAAATCAAATTTTCTTTACCGACTTCTGACGTTTGTATTGGTACGCAGATTTTGGGCATCACCGATCCTAAAGGTACGAAAAGGTATGTGGCGGCCGCGTTCCCGAGCGCATGTGGCAAGACCAACATGGCTATGATGCGGCCCACGTTGCCGGGCTACAAGGTTGAGTGCGTGGGTGACGATATAGTGTGGATGAGGTTCGACCAGAAAGGACAACTTAGAGCTATCAACCCGGAGTTCGGTTTCTTCGGAGTAGCTCCTGGTACGTCCAGAACCACTAACCCAGTGGCCATGGATACGGTATTTGAGAACACCATATTCACTAACGTCGCACGGACAAGTGATGGTGGCGTTTACTGGGAAGGTATGGAAGATCCGGAACCAGGAGTAACGATCACCGATTGGCTAGGCGAACCGTGGACACCTGGCTCGACGAAACCGGCTGCTCATCCAAATTCCAGGTACAGATATTTACTAAATAAAAGAGATCAAATAAAAACAAAAGTAGCAGAATAATAATGATAATTTTATGGTGGAGATAATCGCTTGGTAAGAATAGAATACATACCTAGTCCACTATATTGTAGTGTGTACAGTAGAAAAGAAAATAGATTGAGATGGTAGGACATGCGACAAAGGCGTCGAGAAAGAAGATTACGGCGTGGAAATCAAATGTCTATATATTTTTCTATGCGAACGCGGTTTCTATATATTTTCTTGTGTTGTTACTGCAGGTTTTGCACGCCGGCCAGCCAGTGTCCGATGATCGATCCTCACTGGGAGTCGCCAGAAGGTGTACCCATCGATGCGATCCTGTTTGGAGGCAGACGTCCAAAGGGCGTGCCGCTAGTTTACGAAGCGTTCGACTGGAAACACGCCGTGTTCATCGGTGCAGCAATGAAGTCCGAGGCAACGGCCGCGGCCGAGCATAAGGGCAAGGAAATCATGCACGATCCCTTCGCCATGCGTCCGTTCTTTGGATACAATTTTGGACACTATTTGCAACATTGGTTGTCTATGGAGACGGCTGTACCCAACGTCAAGCTGCCTAAAGTATTCCATGTCAACTGGTTCCGGAAAGACGACCAGGTAAGAGAATTTTATATCTGAGGGTTAGGGGTAGGGCGTTCTTATTTACCACTGGCGTACCTTGGAATCATTTTCAGTTAGGAAGGATTAAATCTAATCTTAGATATTTGCCACTGTTGCATGTCTACCGTATTAACTAAAGATAACCTAAATGGCGTTTTGTAGGGTAAATACATGTGGCCTGGATACGGGGAAAATTGTCGTGTCTTAGAGTGGATTTTACTCCGGATTGACAACGAGCCCGGCACGGCTGTGCCAACACCCATTGGTAACGTACCCACCCGGGAAAAGTTTGACTTAGAAGGAATTCAAGTGGACTTTGATGGCCTATTTGACGTCCCGGTCGACTTTTGGAAAAATGAGGTGAATATACATATTATAATATAGTTTATTAAAATATTGAGATGCCACCGGTCGATCTTATTTTAACGTCTGTTTTTGGCTAGATCGAAGAAATCGCAAAATTTTTATACGACCAAGTGGACGAGGATTTACCGGAAGAGATAAAAGAACAGATTGATAACTTGTTGAAACGTTTGAATTCCCAACGAACAGCCTAACAGCTATATTATTACGTTATTGATAATTTTTGTTTTTATAATATTACACTAAGTTGATAATTTTTACTTATATTTTCATTTTGTTTTTATTTTACGATGTTATATTTATACTGTACTATCTATGACTAAAATATTATATGTAAATTTATTTATTTATTTATTTTTTTTTTTAATATTTAAAGCTACGAATGATTCTCGAGGGGTTTTTAATAGACTTTGAAAAAAAAAAATTAAAACAAACCCATGAAAACCGTGATTCGACCAATGCGAACGCACGTGAATAATATAGTTTATAATTGTAAGCGAAATAACTGTTTAACGTCATGTGATAATTATTTCACTATATAGCATGTAAGAATATTAATTTATTATCGATAATTTAATTGATTGTAATAATAAAATATATAATTGAGTATTGAAATAAATGAGTGTTATTTGATAAGTCTGCAGTAGGTCACTGCCAAGTTCAATAATAATTAAAATATGTTTCACTTACTCTTATAATATTATAATATCAGGCAGTTTTGCTGCGCTTAAAATACGGTTAAAATTCGGTAAGTGTTTAAAATAATTATAAATGAATAACCGCCGTAAATAATATTATGATAACAAACTGTACATTGGTGTCGATAATATAGTATAATAATTCGCGAGTTACAAGAAGTATTATACGTTTTCCCATAATACTATAATATAATCATGGTAATACATATTTTGCAAGCACGTTTACATCAATATTGTTGTGTACCTGTCAACTGATATTATTATTGTTTCGACAAATATTGGTGTATTATTCGATTGCCCGTTAAACATTTACCACCCTAATGCCAATCCCGGTACCGTACTATAGGAACGAGACTCAATAGTAGTGATGGCCACTACCAAGTAAAAACTATCGAACTATTCGATAGTTTTAAACAATTTATTTACTAATCAGCGTTACTACTGAATGAAAACTATTGACTAATTCATTCGATAGTTTTCAAAACAATCGATGGATTCATCGATGGATAGTATGTATTCAATCGATAAATCACTCGATTGTTTTTAAACCATCGATTGGCAATCGATAGTCAAAACTAGTCGGTTCCGCCTATCACTACTCAATAGTGACTTGTATCGACCGTATTTAAGGGGTTACGTAATTTTCAAGAACATGTAAACATGTTAAATAATTACTCACAAATATTCAAATACCGAGTTTCGCTTTTAAGTGCAGTTTTTAGTATGTGATTAGTGATTACAATTTAAACTTATAATATTTCGTTATAATAGCAATCAAGTTATAGAGCAAATTTTGGTAGGGTATACGATTTCTCAACATTTACAAAGGAACCAAAAGTAAAATTAAGTTAAATTACTGCCATAGATATTAATAATGTAGCTGCATGATGAATTCCTCAACGATAAGGTTAGGTTAGGTTAAGTCAAAAGAGATCAAAAATAAATTTATTGGATCTGGATCCAATGGATTCCTTATGCTCCAAAACTTATGTATCTATGAAAATAGATTCTTTATGTGTTATTATTTATTTGCAAGTATCATAATATTCTATTTATTATAGGGTGTTAAGAAAACATACATTTTGGAAAAAAATCGTTGCTTGGCCCATTAGCTACATTTATGACGAATTTGTATGTATCTAAATAGAAATCATTGAACAAAGACTTAGATTGCTTTATTATTGCCGATCTGTCCTCAGTCTGCCCCACTAATTTGTATATAATTAATATATAATATAATAAAATAATTGAAATAAATAATTACTATTTAATTATTTGTATACAAAAGAAAAATAATAATGAAACAAAGTTTAAAATATAACAGTTCAATTTTTGAAGCACTAATAAGAGTCGAATGCAAACTTGTGTTTGAAAAAAAAAATAAAACTGTGACCTAAGTTAGTGCACCAAGCTTAACGATTTCATTAAAATATATAAAATAGTATGAGATGTGGGATTAATGTTTTCGTTAGGATTTACAATCTAAAAGGAATTAAAATTTAAACGTATTAAATTATTTGTCGTGAAAAAAGAGACAAAAAATATTATTACCTAGGTTTTCGAAAATGCATTAAAAAGTTTTTATTACTAAAAACAATTCTCATTTCCTCAAGATGTTATTCATTATTAATTTACTACACAATTGTTTCATTTTCAAATGAACAATTAAAAATACAATAAAACTCAATTAAAAATCCCGAAAAAGAGTAAATTGTTAATTATTATTTTATGCTAAATAAACTGCGTTTAAAAATAATCTTGAACGATTAAGAGCATTTTTTTTTTAATTGTTTTAATTTATACGAACCTAAACAGTATACATGCTATAATAAATTAAGTATACAGTCTCGTGATAGATAAATATTATATAAACATTTCAAAAGGGGTCAAATTCGGAAAATCGAAATTTAAATATATAATATTTATTTTGGCACGAAATTCATTTTTTGTTTTATCGAGTTATATTCACACTTGGTCTAGAAAAAAAAAAAAAACTGTTGAAACCTCTCTTGAAAGGTCCTAACCCGAAATATACAATACGGTTATTGTTGTGTGTGAGTATTGTTATTATTATTACATTATATGTATATTATATAAATTCGAAATAAAGTACTTACTTTTTAATAATAATATAATGGCACGGACGACGAAACTCGTGCCGCTATTGGCACGATACTTTGAAGAGGGGTAGTGGAGTAGTTGTGGCAGTGATGGTGATGTTGACACTTCTCGAGAACGTCTCGAGTACCCAATGCAGCTGCGAACGACATTATGAGAGTATATTGAGACCGAACGCGTTTTGTTTCTTGTGCGTCATTATCGAAATGGCCGTAAACAATATTGAAATCCATATATGGGGGTAAAATCATCAGATTAACGTCATCCAATTACGGATATTGTGTCCGATACCGTGGTCATATAATACGATAAAAAGGTCTGACGGTCAGATTAATTTTGTAGTTTTTCCCGAGACGATTTTCGTTGTTTTCACTAATGTTGTACTGTATAATATAATTACAGTATAATAATTGCTATAATTTATTAATCATATTATTATAGAATGTACTAGTTTATGTGTTAATATATTAACGGTCGGCGGTATTGTATCGGTATAATAGTAGCGGTAAATAAATAAAATTACGCGAAATCGCAGGCGGTAAACTTCCGTTAACTTCGGTTACAATAATGTAAAAGGAAAAAAAAAACCGCGATCGATAATAGTATTGATCTAATATAACCTATTATCAGATTACCACCGGGATCCACTCAGAATCATTTTTTGCTGATTAAAACGATTTATTTTTGTATTGATTTTGTTGATTTCATCATACGAACTTATACCTCGTTATCTCGGAACTATTTGTTTGTATTTAAGAAACAAATAAGCAGCTTTAAAATGTTAAACAATTCATATTTTTGTCATTTTTATATTTGGATGCGAAACTATTGCCTCTTTTAGATTTTCAAATGGCAATGTATAATTAAAATTCCATTAATAGATGTTCCACTTTTAAGTTAATCGTTTTGTCGGTATGGGCACTATATTCAAACGCCGTGCGCCGTAACGCCACACAAAATATACTACACCCAACTTCCGCATCATAAAAAAATTACAAACATAGAAGTGAAATATCTCGTTAGCAGTTTGATGGAAATTAAAATTGTCAACACCAAATTGTATTTAAACCAAAACTTAATCTATTTTGGAACCGTTAATTTATAGAGTGTCGTTTAAAAATCATAAATATATAATAGGGTTTCCACCTGCGAACAAATGGGTGGCAGAAAATAAGGGGATGTAACGTTTAACACTTATTTCTTAAATTTTCAAATAGATAAAAATCAAATTCCGGAAAAAAGATAATATCTTTTTTTCAAAACCTACTTTCCGAAATAGGTTATATGACCTATATCTATGAGCGTTTTACTTTGTATTGATCATTCTGTATACGTTTCTAAACTTCTCACCTACAACAGTGTCATACTCATAGCAGTACGAAGTATGGCCGGTTTTTTTTAAATGTTAACCTACCTACACACGTATAGATCTACCTACACATATCGGAAAGATTAAATGTATTCAAATAATTTTTGTTTTCATTCGACGAATGTGAATAAACAAATGTTTGTTGATAGTACTGTATTTGTCTGTCAAAACATGTAATGTAATATTTACGAAAATTATATTTAGGTAGGTATACGTAAAATATTATAGTACTATACTACTATTATGATATTGTTTTCGCGTGATAAAATTGCATCGTTGAAATTGTATTGTGTAGACAACGCATACGCTTGTGTAGATATAACTAACGTAATTATAATACTTTTCCTTCTTATATCATTTGGAATGATATGTTTATTAATGTATTATAAACTGTAAAAAAAAAAACAAATGCACATATCGTGCATAAAGCCTTGCAAAGAACACGTTTAGTCTGTATTTAGAGTACGATATATTCGATATACTTTTAGAATATATTATTTCCCCGCTCATCAGACAAACACGATCATTTCAATGTTTAAAAATAAACAAATAAATAATGTAATAAAATGTAAAGATAAAATAAAATAATTTTTATCACAAATGATTCTCTTTTATTTCGTTTTGAAGATAAAAACTAACCATTATATTCATTATATTTTTATGCGGCTCTATTAAATAAAAAATGTTCAAAATTTCTCACGTCATAAATTTAAAACTGTTTTCTTGTTCAGAAAAAGTGTTTTATAATGAATAAAAAACAATTTTAGAGCACAAAACAAGAATTCTGTGCCTATATTATTATAATAGGATTGATATTAATGATATAAATGATTACATATAATATAATATGGTGACGAAATTCCATAAATATTAGCGCACTAATATTTTTATGATGTTTAATTAAATAAAAAAAATATTTATTTTTCTAGTTATAAATAGATTACGAAACCAGTGCATTAGCTATAATATACATTTTTAATCATATCATGATCCACCGATCAACTATGAAGGTTATTATGAAAATTGATGCCAGTTTTGCTGACAATAATATCAGATATTTTTCTGATCACGTGGAAGGTTAGATTTGTTTGGGTTATCCCAAATATTTGTGATGGAGGTGATGAAGGTGAATGAGAAGAAGAAAAAAATTACAGGTACATTTCGCGAAGAACTCGGAATATTTTAAAATCACTATTGTTGTAAAGTATTCGATTATATATCATTATGAATCATATTTTTTGCATCTATTCGAATATTTATTCTGAATAGTTTTAAAAAACGTTTTATCCGTATCTGTTTATTGTTATTAAATATTAAAAATAATTGAATAAAATAGCGTTCTGAACGCTGATGTTGTATTTTTAACAATTTCGTACGGTTACTATGCTCCAGTAATTTTTTTTTCGAACTATACACGGTTCCGTTATAGAAAGACGGCAAACAATCTGACT